CGCCCCGCCTGTCGAAAAACAACTGTGTTTAAAGAATCAGTAACCGAATTTTTTAGATTATTTTACGAATCTGGGTACCCAATTAGGCTACCCTGAAATTTTCAAGTCAATTGGTCCATTCAGTTACGCGCAATTACGCAAAGTATACCGCCTCCCGGGGCGGGGATCGCCCCTTTTCGCCCCCAAGCCAACCCTAGTTTCAGATTATAAACTCACCATCATATTCGGCAAGTTTAATTTTGCCAACTTCGGATTCGAAGTAATTTCAACTTGACAGGCAACAGATTTCAAATTTGTAAGCCCAACTTCTGTGAGATTCTCGTTCAAACTCCATTTGAACTGACCAATGTTGTCTGAAATTGAATTTACATACGTTCACGAGCTACACAGGTGACACCAGAGCTACGCGGTCGATGCCTGGACATCGTACCTTTGGTGTCATTTTTCACAAAACAAGAGCTACGCGGTCGATGCCTGGACCTTCAAAGCAAACCCACCACAATCCACAGATTCCAAATTAGCCAAAAACTTTCCACTACTAAACTTGGTTCTGGTGACCAGTAAACTCCCAATCAGATGTTTCATATTTTTTAACGCATTTGTCAATTGTTTTTCCGTCAAATCCGTATCATGTTGAATTGATAATGGATCAGCACAGACAGTTGTACAACTTTTCGGGAATTTTTTCAAATTGGCAGATTCTATGTAGGCTACTTGGAATGTGCATTTTGGTTCTACAAGTTGGAAGGGGCAGAACATAGAAAATCTGATATAAAATTACCACATCTTGAAGGCTTTGGAGTAGTTGAAGTTGGAGAAATCGAACTAGAATATGTTGTTGGATTTTCAGTAGTTTTTGAGAGGGCTGCTGTAGTAACTACCGTAGTTACTACCGTAGTAGTTGGCAGAGAATCTGTGGGAGGGCTTGTAGGAATAGTAGTCGAATCTGATGTTGTTATAGTAGTTTGAGTAGTTACACCTGTTGAAACAGTGGTAGTCTCAATAACTGGGTCAATTGGAGGTGCAAATTGTGATCTTACACTTCCAAGAAAAATCAATAGCAGCCACGTCATTTGAGCCAAAAAAAAAACAGCTGGTTTATTTTTTTCGCACCTAACACCAGCTACCCTTTTTGAATCAGATTACAACAGAATGAGGAAAGCTTTTGAGCTTGGCAATACAGCGGAAATTGAAAAGTGGGAAAGCTGAAATCCAATTTTTTGGATTTCTCACGCCTGCGGTTTATGAAGTGTGAAAGTCTGAAAATGATATAAGCAAAATTATAAGGGAGCTAAAAAATAATGAAGATTTCTTTTTGAGTTATGTGAAATTTGAATGGAAATACATTTAAAATATAAACTTTCAGAAAAAAATTAACATCAAAATTTCCAGAAAATCTTCTTCAACAAATTCTGATTTTTCGAAGCAGATGCTCTAGAAGATTTTTCGATATGAATAGGTCCCGGATGGATTTGTTTAGATTTTCCGAAAATTTCTGTGCGGAGCCGTTTATTCATAATGAGCAGGACGATTGGCGAGCTGAAATTACCGTAAGCACTCTTTTTACCGGTAACTTACCGGTAATTTACCGGTACAATACCGGTAAATTTACCGAAAACTACCGGTAATTTCTAGCCGCCCCGTTGCCAATCCTATCTGAAACTAATCAATTGATGTATTCCTGGACAAAAATGGGGGTACGTGATCCTTACTCAATTTTAAGGAAGAAGGTGACGGAAGCTTGAAAATTTTCAGAAATTCAGAAACCAAGAAATTCCAGAAAATCATCAATTCATTTTTTCTAGCCTACCCCCTCCCAAACCGCCGAACATCCTCGTACTTCCGTTGAAATCAATTCGAACTCTGCAGAACTTTGTATAACTGAACAAGAGATTTCAAATTTTTTATCCAACGAAAATAACGACATTGGAACAATGCCTCAATTCTATTGCTCAGCTGTGAATAGCAATGGAACTATCAAATCTTGCGCTTTCGAAAATTCAACATTGGCAACTTTAGATACCGGATGTGTGAAGTTGAAAGGAAATGTGTTGATTTCCGAAAAAGATGAAGAGCATACATATAAGTTAGAATCGGTGAAAGATATTTTGGGAAGTCTGACGATTGATGGGACCAATTTGACGGATATCGATTTTTTGGACTCTTTGGAAAATGTGGTAGCTTTGAAAGGTGGAAAAAATATCAGCTAAATTTGAAATCTAAAGTTTTCAGAGAATCAATCTGCAATTTTGATTCAATATAACCCGAATTTATCGAATGTGACTTTCCCGAATCTAAAGGTATTAAAACAATGTTTTTCGAAATCATTATTTTCCAGAATTTTTTTGATGTGCAAAAACCTAGAAAGTTTAAAAAACTCAGAAATTAAGAAGTTCAGAAGTTCAGAAATTTCAAAATATCTCAGGTAATTTGAAATATATTTTCAGAGAGCAATCGCGAAATCTGACCAGGTTATAATTTTTCAAAACAATAGTCAGGAACTTTTGATGGATCCGAGTGTTTGTTGGAATATCAGAAATGTTTTGAACACTTCGAATGCATGGATTCCAACTATTGATGGACAGGACTGTGGTTAGTATGTTTTTGAGATAGGACCACTTTGAAACTGGACATTTTAGAACCGCTTTTTTTGCAACTGTCATAAAAGCGCTGTTCTGAAAGTTTGGTTACAAAACGTCTGGTTGCAAAATGTCTGCTTTCGAAATATACAAATTTCCAGAGCAAATCGAAAAAGATGCAATTGTTCGGGACAATCTGGAATGCTCGAAAAATGATTTTACGACTTTTTTGCTCTTTTCATCCTTTTTATTTTTGATAATTTGAAAATATGATTTGTGAAATTCGAAAAAAAACAATACAACTTGATATATTCAGAGTTTCAGAAATTCAAAAAATAAACAGAAATTAAAAAAAAAAATCTATAAAAAATCAGCTATTTGGAATAGTCGATCTCCTATGAAGATTGCCAGAAACATCCGGAATGACCACTATCGATTTTTTCCTTCCCATCACGAAATTCCGTTAGGCTGGATTCCTCCAAATCATTGAAAGTTGAGCAGGAATTGTAGTACCGCATAAAAATGAGTATGCAAATAAATTCTGAATTCTAGAATCTTCCGATGGGTCGTTGAAAATTGTTTGCAAATTTAATATAGTGGATATTGTGGTTAAACTACACATTATAATTGACTGAAACATTGAATTAATATTTTTAATATTGAAAAAATTACCTGAGTCACAAAATTTTGTAATCCTTTCAATCGCTCTTTTATATTTCCAAAACTTTGTACATTACTAGCATTCTGTTTAGTTTCCAAATACATACTGGCATATATTAAAGTTATCATCTGCAAAAAATCAGGGAAACTAAAAGTAATTAAGAAAAAAAATTCTAACCAAAAGTATGAAAGCTACCGATCCAAATAATCCAAAGTAAGTCAATCTTTCATTTTTGGAATTGGTAAAAATAAAAAATCCAGGATGGTCCAAGATTTGTAAATTGTTCGGATATTTGATTCTCACAAAATTTTCCATTTCCTGAGGGGTACTGTAGTTTGAGAACATTGCAAGTGGAACAGGAAAATATATAAAAATGGCGAGAAAAATATAGATGTAAAAGTAGGTAGATTTTTTGCGCTGAACCTCTATAAACCTTCAGAAATTCAGAAATTCAGAACTTTAGAAATTCAAAAAAGTTAAAAATTCACAAATCCAGAAATCCTGAAATTTGGAACTTGAAAATTGAACTCACATCAAAAAAAACTTTCCAGGTCTTGGCGCGGCTTGTGATCTAGTCAGTTGCAAAATAAAGGAAACGTATGCAAAAGATCCAAATGTAAAACACCAACCTATTTGAAATAGATTTTCGACTACCTAAATTTTCCAAGGCCATCAGATAATAAAACTCACAAACAGGGTAAACGTATCAAAATAATTTTTCAGCAAACCCTGAGAATAAGCCGCTGCGAATGGGTATAAAGTGACCATTCCTCCAAAAACGCCTAGCTGAACTTCACACGAATACAACGACATATGATACCAAAATGGCAAAACTTTAATGGAAACTCGTTCAGGTTTTGATTGTGCCCAAATTAAATAAAGCAGTAGAAAATTCAATTGTGTTGCTAAAAGATACACGAATACAGTAGCCCGGTACTGTAAAGAACGATCGGAATAGAATACGGTAGCGTAGATACGAAGGTCGGGGATTTCTGCTGACATTTTCCATCTAGATAATATGTGAAAATGCGGGTTGAAAATGCGAGAAAAATGAGACAGATTCCGTGTTCTACATGAATCAAAAACTAATCGGTGAGGAATAAAACAAGACAAAACCGAGTCAAAAAGACAAAATCAAAAAGTCAAAAGACACCGTACACAGGTAAAATGCGAACGGATCCGTTACGGACGCTCAGCGTTCGCGCGTGGTTGAAATAGGAACCGCATACGGACCGCACGCGACCCGTTTTCAGAAAACCACAACACATTATTCCGTATTCCTCCGTA